ATATATAGGGATCATTGTATCATTGTCAATATTAATCAAGAATATTTTCTCCCGTGCTTTCTCACACAGAGCAAAGACAATTGTGCTTAAGTGATAAAATAAAGTGTAGTGCCCATAGGGAACTTAAGTCACTATTATCCATATGTATCATACCTATCCCTAAACCTACATTACAACCTTGCAAAAGTCCTACATGATCTCAACTCAAAGACTCCTACATTAGTGGAGAACCACATGATAGTCAAGCATATGGCAATTTCCAGTAGCTTGAGGTACGTCTTTGTTGAGAGTGAGTGAAATTTTCTATGCCCTTCTTTGTTCTACGTCTATATATTGTGTGATATATGGGCATCTCTCTTCATTTAGTGAGACACACTAGGGATTAGGAAATATTATGATTTCAGTTCTCAATAGGTGAATATGAGTATGGTTAAAAGTTGTATGAACGTGTGAATTGGTCTTAGTTACTTTTTCATTGGCGAAAGGTCTCATGATTTTGGTTAAATTGTTTAGCTGCTATGGTTAGTTATTTTATTTGCTCGAGGACGAGCAAATATTTCAGTGTGGAAGAATTTGATAAGTGCATTTTACATGATTTATAAACATATATTTTCTTTGTAAAAATACAAATACTATCATATTTCTTCCATACTTTTGTCTAAATTATGTAGGAAAAGTTAAAGAAGGATTGGTCCGGGAACGAGAAGATTACAAAAGAAAAAGTAGAAAAATGGACATGCTAAAATAGATTAAAATATGGTGCTAAAGAAAGACATTGTATAAAGTGGTCTACCATAACAAAGAATAACTGACTCACAACCGGCTACAACAAACTATAACCGATCCATAACCAAAGAAGCTCATAACCAAGCATAACAAGACCACAACCAGCCATGACAAGTTCATATCCATAGGTGAATTGAAAACTTTGTCATGGTTTGCCTATAAAAAGGAGCATCAATCGTGAAACGAAGAGGAGGGGAGCGAAAAAGAAATCTGAGAAGTGTAATATTGAGCATAAAGTTTTTTCCTTTCTCTTTGTTCTTTAGTTTTACTTATGTTTCTTCATTTAGCCATTACACTGGCTTCATTTCTGGTTCTGAATAAATTGTAGTATTGGAAATTACTCTAGTTCCTGTTTTTAATTAAATAGGAGGAATTATTCTCTTGAATATTTCTTTCTATTTTCTTATTTAATGAGCAAGATTATTTCCGTTGTCAGTATTGGTTCCAATATGGAGTAACTTTTCTTGTGTTGGGAAAATGACGGAACTTAATATTTTTATATAATAGTAGATATTATTCTTCAATTTCACATTCTTGAGCTGAAGCTTTTTATTTAAATTTTATCTGCTTTATAATTGGGTGTTATTTAATTTGTCAACATCTATCTATTTCGTACTACATATTAACTTGTTACTAATTCTGTAATCGAAAGAGGCAGAAGAAGTAATAGTTAATTTTGGTATTGATAGGTGTTAACCTATATTTAGTGACATCTAGCTCATATATGTTAAAATTGATTCTACACTTATTTGTAATCGAAAGAGGCGAATATTGTAGTAATCAGTTATAACAAGTAGGGTAACCGAAAGGGAATTACTAAAAAAGAGCATGCTTTAGTTCAAGTATATATTTCTGGTTCTTTAATATTACCATTTTGACGGTTAAATTGTATAACCGAGAGGAGTGCATTTAATTGTTCATCTATAGTAATAAAAAAATGCAGAGCTGTGCAATGTAGATGATCCAGGAGGAACACTTGGTGATATTGAGCAGACCAAAGCAGGACAAGAAGGTCCAAACTGTAGTAATGCAATGCCAATTGTTAGTGCAAATGCTACAAACCAACAACCAGATCCACAAGCTGCAGAGCAGGGTACTATTATATTAAAATCTGCACATCAACAGAATGTCAGCAGTTCTGGTAACAAACAGATAAATATCCTATAGGAAAAATCTGGTCTAATGGTTACAACTAACACTAAGGAAATTGAAAGCCAAAGTAATCAGGCAAAAATGGACCTGGATGAAGAGTCAACAGCCCAAAACTTTCTCAATGTTGCCAAGCAAGGAGATTTATCACCTAGGCACATTGAGCAGGTTAAATCTGCAATAAAAATAAAAAACAAACAAGTCAAAGAACCATCTATCCCAACAGGAGGGGTACAAACAAGGAGAACACTGTCCAAACCCAAAAACCTTTATTGGATGCCATTATATGGAATGTGAGGTCAGTAAATACAATGCAAGCATTTGAAAGGCTGATTACAATGCATAGAAAACATCACTTTGAGTTCATAGGAATCCTTGAGCCTATGCAACAGTCTCACAAAATGGAGAGGTATAGAGCAAGAATTGGTTTGGCATAGGCTGTGGTGAATGTGTCAAACAAGATTTGGGATTTTATTGATGAAATGTTTTAGGTTACTATTCTATATAACATGACTCAACATCTGACTTTGAGATTGATGCACACTGAAACACATGTTGAGCTCATCCTTACACTAGTTTATGCCAAATGTGATTGCATTGAAAGAATTGAACTATGGGATACTTTGTATGCAATGGCATCAGATATGACAGTACCATGGCTAGTTGGAGGCGACTTTAATGTGATATGGGACAAGGAAGAGAAGTATGGAGGCTTGCCAGTTTCTCTCCTTGAAGTAGATGACTTTAGACACTGCATCAATACCTGCAACTTGACAGATTTGGGATTTAAAGGAAGCACATTTACATGGTGGAATGGAAGATCAGAGGAGGACTGTATTTTTAAAAGATTGGATAGATGTTTTGGCAATAATGAATTGCAACAGACCTTTCCTGAATTGGAGGTAACTCACCTATCCAAAATTGGGTCTGATCATTGCCCGATGTTGCTGAAATGTGATATAGAAACTCCTCCAATTAAGAAGTCATTCAGATTTCTAAACTTCTGGAAAAAGCATGAAATCCTTAAAGAGGTAGTGAAGGAGAATTGGAATGCTGATTTTAGTGCTAACCCTTTCTGCATTTTTAACTACAAGTAAAGAAGCTTAAGCAAGCACTATCTACCTAGAGCAGAACTACATATGGGGATATATTCCAAAATATTGCAAGCCTTGAGGAGGTGGTCTTGGTTCATGAAAGACAATTTGAAGTCAATCCTACACAGATGAACAGACAAAAATTACGATAGGTCCAAGCTGAAATGATTAAATAACTTGAATTAGAAGAAGAATTCTGGAGGCAAAAAGATGGCATGTTATGGTTCAAAGATGGCGATAGAAATACTAAATTCTTCCATGCTCAGGTTAATGGGAGAAGGAAGAGACTGAAATTATCAAGGATCCAGAATAGCCTTGGTAACTAGATTGAAGAAGATCACTTAATAGCAGAAGAAACAGTAAAGTTCTACAAGGATCAATTTACTGAGAGTGCAGTGCCTAATGATTTTGATATTCTAAATCATGTACCTTCAATGGTAGATAGCGATCAACATGAGAGATTGATGGCTTTGCCTTCCAATGAAGAAGTGAAGAGAGCAGTTATGGGGTTGAATGGGGACTCAGCAGGCGGACCAGATGGTTTCACTGGAGCCTTTTACCAAACATGCTGGGAAATCATTGAAGAAGATGTAGTCGGCATGGTCAGGGCTTTCTTTTGCGGTCAGCAGCTGCCAAAGAGTGTGACACACACAAACCTGGTTTTATTACCAAAGAAAAAAGAAGTGATTATCTTTGCAGACATGAGACCAATCAGTCTTAGCAACTTTGTTAATAAGCTTTTCTCAAGGGTTATTCATGAAAGGCTGGTTGAATTTTTACCGAGCATAATCTCGGAAGAATAGGCAGGTTTTCTGAAGGGAAGAAGCATAGTTGAGAATGTGCTGTTAACTCAAGAAATCATTAAGGATATCAGGTTGAGAACAAAAGCAGGTCCAAATGTTGTGATTAAACTTGACATGACAAAAGCTTACGATAGGTTATCATGGCTATTCATAACCAAAATGCTAAGGAATATGGGATTTCCTGAAGATTTTATTGTCTTGATATTTGATTTGATTGGGAATAATTGGTACTCTATTCTTATAAATGGACAGCCAAATGGTTTCTTCAAATCATCGAGGGGAGTTAAGCAGGGTGACCCTTTGTCACCAACCCTATTCATCCTAGCAGTAAAAGCACTGTCACGAGGTTTGAATTCACTACACACTAACCTGTATTTCTGCGGATTCGTAATGCCAAAATGGAGCCCAAAAATAAATTATTTGTCATGCGCTGATGATACAATCATTTTCTGCTCATCTGATGAAACTTCACTGAGACTTGTGATGGAGGTTCTACAAGCTTATGAATCATTGTCTGGTCAACTGGTGAACAAAGCAAAATCAGCCATATACCTGTATCATTTAACGGACAATGAGGTGATTAACAAGGTTGAAAGGATTACAGGTATAAGAAGACAATGTTTCTCGATGACCTATCTTGGCTGCCCTATTTTTTATGCAAGAAGAAGGGGAGACTATTACCAGGGATTAATCACTAAGGTTATGGACAAACTGCAGTCGTGGAAAGGCAAACTCCTATCTGTAGGAGGCAGAGCTGTATTGATCGCAAATGTCCTGCAGAGTATCCCAATTCATATGTTGTCAGCAGTTAATCCACCAATTTATGTGATTAATAAATTACATAGCATTTTGGCAAAATTCTTCTGGAGCAGCAATGTGGGAGGCAACTCTAGACATTGGTCATCGTGGACTAACCTTTGTATGCCTTATGAGGAGGGAGGCATAGGCTTCAGGTCCCTACATGATGTATCCAAGGCACTATTCTATAAATTGTGGTGGAATTTCAGGACAAAGCCCAGTTTATGGAGTGCATTTATTAGTCAAAGGTACTGCAAGAAACTAAATTCAGTAATTTTACCTTGGAAGCGTGGATCCCACGTGTGGAAAAAAATGCTAGAATGTAGGGACTTGATTGAGCATCAAATCTACAGGAAACCGCGAATGGGATCTGCTCAATTCTGGTTCGATAATTGGACTGAGCTGGGAGCCTTATATTTCCAAGTGCCTGAAGAGTTTGGTATCGATGAGGATATTTACAATGTTAATGATCTGGTTGAAAATGGTATGTGGAACTTGGAAAAAATATTTCTGACTCTACCTGAAGATTTGGCAAACCACATTGTGCAGAATATTAGACCACCAAACGAATGTGCAGAGTTAGATACACCATTCTGGATGATTGAAACAAGAGGTTATTTTTTAGTGAAGTCTGCTTGGGACTACCTGAGGAGAAGAGACAACCCAAGATTAGCTTACAGGATGATATGGGTCAAAGGTTTACCTTTCAAGATATCTTTCTTTCTGTGGAAAGTGTGGAAAGCCAAACTACCACTTGATGATTTTTTGCGTAAAATAGCATACTCCATGCCATCTAAATGTTGGTGTTGTGATGATCCTAAGGAGGAATCATTAGTACATGTGTTCTTCACTTCCAATGCAGCTAGGAGTGTTTGGAATTACTTCCTGAGGAGAGCAGGAATTGCATTACAAGGGTTATCATTACAACAAGCAATTACAAAGTGTTGGACAACACCAATTGTTCCCAGATTGAAGCCAGTCTTACAAGCTTTACCTGCATGCATTGTATGGGAACTTTGGAAGAGAAGAAACAGTTTGAAATATGGAGAAGCGGTGTCAGTGAGCAGAGTTATTTACCAGGTGTCATCTACTCTGCAAGCTGTAGTCCAACTAAAAAATCCTGGACTACATGTGCCTCACAAGTGGCTGGACTTACTGACAATGATGGAGCAATACACGCCTCGATTGAAATTTGATAAAGTGGTATGGGAATTTCCTTCAAGAGGGTGGATCAAAGTGAATACTGATGGAGCATGTAGAGGGAATCCGGGAAGGAGTGCAATTGGTTTATGCATAAGGGATGAGGTAGGAGATTTGATATACGTAGAAGGAAGGGAGATTTCTGAAGGAACCAACAATAAATCAGAAGCAGTAGCTATTGTGGAGGTATTGAAGATGTGCAAAAATCTTAATTATTTCCAGATATGGCTGCAGACAGATTCCTTGCTATTAAAGAACATTATAGAGGAATCATGGAAGCCTCCTTGGTGTATTACGAAACATGTAGAGGAGATTTTAAGATTGAAGGAAAAAAGTATCTTCAAGGTCACACACATATTTAGAGAAGGGAATACACTAGCAGACCACCTTGCTAATTATGCTCTAGATGAAGGAAATATTGAATGTCATTGTTTCTGCGATATGGACTCAAAAGGAAGGAGGATTATTAATGAAGATAAGATGCAATGTACCTACATAAGAGTGAAGGTTGCAAGGAATTAGGAGGAAAAGAGGATCCATTTCTCTATCAGACTCGATTCAGTTTTGAGAAGAGTTTGGTAAGAAACTTTTCGGCTAACAAGGTTTGCTTTTTTGTAGGTATTTCATTGATGCTTATCACCTATCTTATAGTAGAATCTCTAGTGGTTGTATTAATGCCTTGCATTCAATCCATTGGGAGGACACTAAGGGTAGACATTGGCATTTTCACTAAGTTCATTTCAAGACATGCATTTAAATCAAAGGGATTTGCGGAAATTTTGGATGAATTTTGACAACCAGTTCATGAGGCATTTCAACCAAAGCAACATGAAGTGAAAAAAGAAGAAGTCAGGACGTGGAGAAATAAGGGATCAATCACAATCGCGCCCATGAAGAACACTAGAAGAAAGATTGTGAAAAATCTCAACTGGGACCAATGGTATCTGAGCCTAAAATGTCGCATAACTAGAGTACTTACAACGTGGTGGAGGGCATGTGAAAGGAATGACAAGTTGAGCATGGGAAATCGACATGCTTATATTTTATTCACGCATGTCCCTTTCAAAAAGCAAGATGGGGAATTACTCATAAATAAAAGGAAAAGCTTGCTGAAATATTATTCTTTGGTCCACATGCTGCTTGTCAATCTAAGCACTCTGAAAAAGATAGCTTTGGAAGAATACAAATACAAAAGACAAAGATATAATGATGTGACAATTTATTTTTTAAATGAACAAAGGATGGGGATCGACAACAGGCCATGTGCATGGGATTCCACATTGAATTGTTCAAGCATCCACACACAACTTTATATTATTTTAAAGCACATTTGCTCTTTGAGACATCTTGCACGCCTGCTGCTTGTTACAGGTTCTGTTTTCCGTATTGGAAAGCTAAGCTGGAGCACGCTGGTTTGCAGCCCACGAGGAGCAGGATGGGGACATTTTGCACGCCTGCTGCTTGTTACAGTTTCTGTTTTGCGTATTGGAACACTAAGCTAGAGCACACTGGTTTGCAGCCCACGAGGAGCAGCATGGGTACAAACTATGAAAAGAAAACCGTGCGTTTTGGACTGCTCAAATTGGAAACTTTCACAGCATCCCATTTGTTTAATTGAAGCAATGCTTGCTTGGACAAAGTGGAGATCACATGTTTTTTTGTCCTCTCCAACCTGGAGGAATTCTACTATTTTAAATACGCTGGATCATTGGGAAATGGTGCACGAATGTTTCCATGGCAATTTGAAATTGTAATTGTGAGTCTTCGACTGCACAATTTGGAAGCGTTCACAGCATCCCATTTGTTTAATTGAAGCATGCTCTCTTGGTCAAAGTGGAGATCACATGATACCTCCATGGGAATCTGCAGATTTACATAAAAAAAACAAAAACAAAAACTTGGGTGGATTCTACACAGATTTTGAACTTCATATGCATGGATCGCAAGAGAAGGGGCTACAAATGCAAAGCTGGGAATAGGCTATGTACGTAAACATATGATGCATTGGAATTGGGCTGAAGAGACATAAATTTGACATGCACTTAACTGGACAATTACTGATTCATCATTGGGCTTCAGTGGCATGGAACGACTTAAGTGGGCTAGAGTGGTTTTCTACAAAGTTTAATAACTTTAATGTGATATCAAAATGGAGCTACTTTACAAGTACAAGGCTTTTTGGCATCATCTTTTTTAATTATATCTTGGTAATAGGTTTAATGTACACCTGACAATATAATTTGTTTATCATTTTGTTTTATTAAAAAAATTAGCCCTAGGCGCTTGCCTAGCGGATTGCCAAAAAAAAATATAAATGTAATCGTGAGAGGCATTTATACATTTATGAGAAATAGAAGTTGAAGGATAAATGTATCTACTATATAATAAAAAATATTAAGTGAAGTCAGGATCCCAAAACCTTTTTATTATATTTGTGAAAAACAAAATATTTTCTATTGCTCTATTCGTGCATTTTTAGTTAGTTAATTCATAACTCAACTCTTTCTGATTTTCTCAAATAGTAATTAAAACAAGAAACGTCTGTAGAATAGATAAACCAATCTCTGTGGGTTCGACATCTTTCTATACTACTATTTGACAGAGTACGAGTTTAAATCATATATGCTAGACACTCGTCAAGCATGCTTTACCTCGGATTGAGGCCTCCTTTTTTGCTTTACCGGTTTGAACATGGGATCGGTGCTTAGCCGATGTGTGGTGATCTCCGGTGGAATACCTGTCATATCTAAATGGGACTATGAAAAGTAATCCATATTATCAATAATAAATCGAATAAGTTTATTCCTGAGTTTGGGAGTCAATCCCATTCCCAGGTATACCTTTTTCTTCGGCATGCATTCGATCAAAATGACTTGCTCCAGCTCCTCGATATTTGATTTGGTAGCATTGGATTCTTCGGGAATGATAGCGGTTCGGGTAGTAAGGAAATCCTCATCTTCATCTTTGATTACCTGTTGCTCCAATTCCATCGAGGCTGGAGGCAGTAATTGCTATTTGGCCGCCTATTTACCTCCGATGATCGATTTCTCTGAGGTCAAAGGCTCTGGTATTGGCACCACCTCCTCGATCGCAAACATCTCTGTTGTAGCATGTTGCTCTCCGTAGACTATTTTCACTCCTTCCTCTGTTCGGAACTTCATCATCTGGTGAAGAGCTGAAGGCATTGCCCTCATGTTGTGTATCCATGGTCTCCCGAGAAGCGCGTTATACCTTATATCACCTTTGATGACATGGAACTTCGTATCTTGTATGGTCTCGACTACGTTTACTGGCAAGATAATTTCTCTCTTTGTTGTTTCGCTTGCTATGTTGAAGCCATTTAGGACCGAGGATACAGGTACATTCTGATCTTGTAGGCCGAGTTGTTCAACGGCCCTCGATCTGATTATGTTTGCTGAGCTACCTGGATCCACTAGAACACGTTTAACTTGAATTTTATTCAAAAGGATAGAGATTACCAAGGCATCTTTGTGAGGCTGAGATATGCCTTATGCTTCCCCGTCACAGAATGATAAGACGTCCTCGGGCACATAGCTCTGAGTCCATTATTCTCTGGTGATTGATACTTTGGTGCGCTTGAAAATAGGTCATTGAGGGACATCGACTCCACCAATGATCATGTGGATTACATGTTGTGGTTATTCTTGTTCATTTTTCCTTGCATCTCTCTCCCTGAAGTGATTCTTAGCCCGATAACTTAGGAATTCTCGAAGGTGGCCCTCGTTGAACAAACGAGCCACTTCTTCCCTTAGGTACCTGCAATCTTCTATTTTATGACCATGTGTGCCATGATACTTGCACATGAAGTTCGGGTTCCTTTGAGAAGGATCGGTTTGTTTTGTCCTGGGCCACATGGTATCTTTGATTCTCCGAATAGCTGAGATGATCCCTGATGCATCTATGCTGAAGTTGTACCCTGATAATCGAGGGGCCTTAGCGGGGTTGGTGTGATTATCGAACCCGCTTTTACTCATGAGTCCCCAAGAACTTTGACCTCGATTGTTTCTCCGATCGTCTTGAGGAGTGTTGCAGCTTGGGTTGTTGTTCCTTCAATCGTTATATGGTTGATACCGTTCTTTGTTGAATCTCGATTCCCAGTCTGCCTCCCCCAGGGGCTTGGCAGCGAATCTGTTATGATGAATTGAACCTGAGGGGGCTCCCAATTGGTCATCCTCGACCCTGATCTTTGATTGATAACGATTGTGCACATCTAACCATGTAAATATTCGATCAAGTTCTACTTCAACCATTGAGATGCGATCGAACTCCTTTCATTCAGACCCTGCATAAAGGCCTGTACTTCCCAGTCATCAGAGACAGGTGGTAATTCTATTCTTTCCATCTGAAACCGGGACACGAACTATAGCATCTCGTCGTTCCTTTGCTTTATTTTGAAGACATCTGATTTTCTCGTGGCCACCTTTATGGACCCGACGTGTGCTTTCACAAAGGCATCTGCTAGCATAGCAAATGAATCAATAGAGTTAGGAGCCAA